GGCCCTACTACATGTATATCCATTGATATTTTTTCGAAAGACGAAAAAGGTGTATCCGTGATTATCATTGGTTGTTTGGTTTTTACTCTAACTAATTTTTTAATTTGGCATTGCAAACATTGATTAATATAATTTCGGATATCAGATTTAATATTATCCCAGTAAAAATTTTGTCGAATTCGATTATAAGTTTTAGTTATTCCTTTATGACCTCCAATTTTGGAAGAATGAGCTTCTTCAATTATGTCTTTCTGTTTTTCGATTTCTGGGATTTTTATCAATCCATGACATATTATTAATTTGGTTGATGTTCCAAGTATTGATTGTTGAATTTGTTTAAAAATTTCTTCCCATGAGATATTATCTATTTCCTTTGATTTAGCAACATTTAATACTTTAATTGAATTTTCCTTTATTATTTTACGTAATTTAGTTCCAAATACTAATAATATTTCTGAGGTTATTTTGTCTTGAATATCATCCTTGCAAATAAAAATTAAATGAAATTTATTCCCCTTTTTAATTACTTTAAAGTTTCCTACTTGATTTTCTTTAATTTTAGGTATTAAATTTCGTTTTTTAAGTTGTTTAGATCTCTCATCACAAGGTTTCCCGTCCTTTGTTAAAAGGTATAAATAATTTTCTTTTCTCATAAAAATTTGATCGCGACTGTTTATGGTACTTGATTTCTGTCCGCGTGTTTCCATATGTTTTTCTGTTTCGTTAATTAGATCGTCTGATTCAAGTTCGTTATATGTTTCGTCAATGTCTTTGTCACTGTCATCTTCTTCTTCTTCTTCAAAGTTATCTTCTTCATCTTCTTCGTTCGAGTCTTCATCGTAGCTCAGGCTGTCTTGATCACCTTCTGGATTAGAATTATTTCCTCTTGTTTCATCTGTCAACACTTCATGAAAATCTGTACCTGAATTTTTCTCTTGACAAATTTCATCATAGTCATAATCTCCTGCTAAATTATTTATTATCTGTAAAAGATTAGGTGGTATTATTATCTGTGAATAAGAGGTATTAGCAATTTTATCATTATTATTTTTGTTTAAATTTTCTGAGAGTAAAATTCCTGTCTCGAGTTGAATGTTCTGAGTGTCATTTTCGGTTTCATTTAGTTCTGTTATAGTTAGAGATTCTGTTTCATTAGTGTTTTCTGGTGGTTCATTTATGTTTTCTTGTTGGTTTAATGGAATATTGTGTATTTCAGCTTGAAATGTATGCTCATAAAATAGTGGTTCATTTAATTCTTTTCTAGTAAATGGTACGCTTTCTCCCTCTGATTTTTCTAAACTACGCGTTTGAATTCCTGAAACTATTGGTTCTGGTTCTTCTATCATCATTCCTCTTCTTGGAGAGGTTAGT